CTTTTTTGGTGAGTTCCAATGTCTTCCTGTCAATGACTGTCCAGCAGCTAGTTGTGATCCTGGTGCTCTTGCAAGAGGGAGTGAGAGCACGTCCTTGTACTCTGCCATCTTGGTTCCAATCCCCCTAAAAAGTATATATTTTTTAATAAATTTATTTATTTTATTTATTTTTGGCTGCATTGGCTCTTCATTGCTGCTCATGGGCTTTTCTCTAGCTGCGGTGAGCAGGGGCTACTCTTTGTTGGGGTGTGCAGGCTTCTCATTGTGGTGGCTTCTCTTGTTGTGGAGCACAGGCTCTAGGCATGCGGACTCAGTAGTTGCGGCACACAGGCTCTAGAGCGCAGGCTCAGTAGTTGTGGTGCATGGGCTTAGTTGCTCTGCAGCATGTGGGATCTTCCCAGACCAGGGATCGAATCTGTGTTCCCTGCATTGGCAGCCAGATTTTCAACCACTGCACCACCAGGGAATCCCTCTCTTATGATTTTATTTTCCTCAACTGCTTGTTGATTTATCTTTACATTAGATGATCCTGGTTCATTTGTCTGTGGATGTTTGTTTGCCATAGCTTGCCTCTAGAGACTGTAGGGGAGCCGTAAAGAATGATGGTAGTTAGGTGTGTCAGTAGCTTATATTCAGGGTGTATTCACCGTCCCTTCTGAACATCAGTGGCCACTGTAAATCTGCCCTTCTCTTTGGCATCAATGTCCACAATAGTTTCTTTAGCTTTGGAGCAAATATCATGGAGTCCCAGTGCTCTACGTAAGCAGCAGAAGGTAAACGGATTAAATGGTGCAGTTGCTCTACTTGCTTTCATTATTTTCCCCCTAAAGCTTCTCCCATTTCTTTATCAATTGAGGATGGCTAAATAAATGCAGCATTAACTCTGTGGCATCTTCTCAGTACATATGGGGCTGTAGTTTCATCTAATCAGCATTAACTCTGTGGCATCTTCTCAGTACATATGGGGCTGTAGTTTCATCTAATCAGTAATCTATAATTTTAGATGTCATGAAAGCTCTTATCTACAGCATTATGAATTTTGAAAATTTCGGTCTTTTATAGGATTTTAGATGGAAGAGGAGTTGTACATGTGTGCTTAGTTCACTCTTTTGATAAAATCACTATTCCCTTTTGCAAAAGTTCTTCCTGCTGCTTTGGGGGACCTATTCATCCTCTGTCATTCAATACAGTCAACTTGGGTCTTCTAATAACATTACTCCTCTGTCCATAGTGACTTATTGAGAGTGGATGCATGACACAAGCACAGACAATAATACTGGGAGGAAGAATGTCTCTTTTGGAGTTGCTAAACTGGAGCTGCCTCTTTCATGTCTACCACCAGCTGAAGGAAGCCTGTCTGCAGTAGAAGGGAACAAGGCCCTTCAGAAAAAAGAAATGAAAAAAGTCTAGGAGAGATGAGAGACTGAACCACTTGCATGCATACACACACCCACATGTATTTACATACACACTCAATAACACTGTTGACTACTTAGATCCAGTTGGCTTTAGTCCAGTTTTCATCCCCTGCATTTACCAATTAGTGATCTAATAATATACCCCCCACTTTTTTTTTTTTTTTTTTTCCCCCACTTTTTTATTAATTATCTTGAGTGGAATTCCTTTCACTTGCACCAAAAATATAAAATGCACTTCTGGCTAACTCATTCACAACCTTTAGATTTCCTCTTAGATTTCACTTGTTACTGGAAACCACCCTATTTTGTAATTACTTATGTAATCATCTCTCTCCTCTCATTTGACAATAAACTCCTTGAGGACAAGAAACATTGCTCGTCACTGTGTACCCCTAGAACTTAGCACAGGCCTAGAGCACAACAGGAACTGGATAACATATGTGGAATAATGAATATATAATTGTTAAAGCTGCATCATCTCATTTTAGTAGATGCCTGGCAGTAGATACCTGGTTAGAACCATGACTTAGGGTATCTGCTATGAGTTTTTTGACCATCATCATTGCTAATATCCAATAGCGTTCTTTGTGTGCAAGTATTCACTGCTTCTTCTAGTTTTCAGGTAACAAAAGCAAAGGACATAGCAGTTTTCCAGGTTTCTGGGTGGGTCCTTAAGGCCAAAGAAAAAATATATTCCTTAAGGAGATTCTGGTTCCCTTACAGTTCTTAAGTCTGTGGATCTGTGGTTTAATTGCATTGTCAAAACAATAGATTTGGAGAGCTCCTGGCTTGGGTGCTTAAAAGGGAATCCTCATCTCTATAAATAAAATAAGTGTCACACAGTACTTCATCCACTAAGATGGCTACAACTACAGGCATCTGCTGCCTTCGTTTTCTGCTCCATTCTGTCATTATTCTAGCTCATTCTAGTTGTTTACTGCCTTTTTCAATGTATATTGTGAACAACACTATTACATGCGAACCATTGAATGAACTACAACACATGCTGCTTACAGAACTATACCTATTAAATTTCTAGATTATGAAAAATCTCAGGTCAAGAATAATGACTTACCGAAAATATGCCTCTAAGGTGTAACATGAAATATCTTGTAAAAGGTGAGTAGAAATTGCTAGAAACAATTGTTAAATTCAAAAATACAAATTCAATTTTCTATAAACTAAAACCCAAGAAAAGTATGAATATGATTTATTTATGTTCTCTATTAGTAATCAGAATTAATATTTAGCCATTATTCTTAGAAGCAATTTACATGTTTTCTTAAAATCATCTATCCACAACTAAGAAAGAAACTAAATTTCGTCAGTGTTATCTACCTTGAATGCTTGCCTGAGATTTAAATTTGGAACATTTATATGGCTGTTGTATGGCCCTTGTTTGGTTTCAGAGCCCTGAGGTCAGTATGAATAACTACATTAGTGGGGCAAGCCTCTGCTTCCTCTATGAAAGGTCGTTAATTTAAAAAATGGTATTTGCACCAAAGGTTATCAGACACTTCTAAAATGTCACAAAATATTGTAGTATAACACTTGCTTTGGTTAATCCTTTAAAATTCTATGAACGGGTTAATTCCTTAAGACCCAATATCCCTCCCTTAAGGACTTTTTTTTATAGCTCTGGTCAGCCTGGGGAAAATACAAAAGACAATAGAAAATAAATGAGCCAATCCTTGTCTGCTTTCTCCATTTTATCTTTCCATAAGCATAAATGTCACCTAAATATAACCTTACAATGGAGAAGAAAGGCATGATTGTGTAATTAACAAAGGGAAAAGGGAGTTCTTTATGAAACTTTTTTTCTTGATGATTCTAAATGTCTGCATATGCTGCTATTGAAGCCACTATCACTTTCCCAAAGTTTTGCTGAATAGATGAGATAGGATTGTATTCCTAACAGATAATTACTGCAATGCTGTCACACTGTATGATGTCATTCTGACATGGAAACTTTGTCAGTGAAACTTCGTCAAGTGACACCTAATTTAAGCTACAGTATGAGGAGACTGCAAAGGAGAAACTTTAAGGAAAGTCAAAAGCAAAAAGGGTTCCTTGTTTTCCTTCAGCTCATTTAAAAGGCCAGCATTAGAACAAGTACCCAAGTGGAGACTGAGACACAGTGACTGAGGTGTTTAATGAAGTAAGCAATTTATAAAGTGCAGAATAACAATACTAGGGAAGACAGAACATTTGGCACATTCCATCTGGTTCTTAATATCAGGGAAATTATAAAGATAATGTAAATATACCCTTATTCACTTTATTTATTTTTTAATAAATTTATTTTATTATTTATTTATTTTTGGCTGCATTGGGTCTTTGTTGCTGCACACGGGCTTTCTCTCATTGCAACAAGCGGGGGCTACTCTTCGTTGCAGCGTGCGGGCTTCTCATTGCGGTGGCTTCTCTTGTTGTGGAGCATGGGCTCTAGGTGTGTGGATTTCAGTAGTTGTGGCCCACGTGCTTCAGTAGTTGTGCCTTGTGGGCTCTAGAGTGCAGGCTCAGTATTTGTGGCGCACGGGCTTAGTTGCTCCGCGGCATGAGGGATCTTCCCGGACCAGGACTTGAACCCGTGTCCCCTGCACTGGCAGGCAGATTCTTAACCACTGTGCCACCATGGAAGTTCCATCCCTTATTCACTTTATGTCTGACCATGGCCATTCCCATCTCCTATATTTCTAGGCAATACAGCCTCCTCAAGCAGTTGAGAATCTAAGGAGTACTTCTGATGGCATCTTTAGCCTCCTTAAGATGTTCTCTTACCCAGGATTCATTTCTAGTAAATACATATATGTGATTATATGTAAGGCTGTTCAAAAGTATCTTTAAGTAGACCATTTCTTGTAGAACTGCTATTATATGCACTGTCACTGAATCACTTATGTCATATTACGAGGGGTTACTATGTCCTGCATTATACTATATGCTGTGTAGAAAAATAGCACACGATCCTTGCCTTCAAGGAAATTACAGTTGGATTATGTTAACTATATCAATCCACAGGAAACAATTTGGAAACCATAAACATGGTACAGATTTACATGCTTATTGGTGTGCTCAGAGTAGCCAGTATTCAGCAGAAAGAGATCAATTAGAATAAAATAATAGAACATGATTAAAGGGTTTGTCTAAGCCCTTCCTTTGAGATGTGATGCAATTAAGGAAGGTCTGCTTCATTGAGGAAGTGGGATTTGAATTAGGCCTTAAACAACGAGTACACTGAAAATAAATATGAAATTAGAGATTTAACAGAATTAATTTATCTCACTTTTCCTGATTTTATTTGTATGAAGATGTACATACTCTATCCAACTGAGCTTTGCCAAATAATCCATAAATACATAAAGTATACATGATTAACAATGCCTTTAATGCCAAAAGACAGCTTACTTTCTTAATCCAAACCTCACTCTATGTAATTATTTTTTGCGAACTACTAGTTGGTTATATTAACACTTGAGTAATCTTGACAAGAAGTTGCTTTCAGCTGTTAAAGATCCAGATGCTGATCAGCATGCATTAAGTGATTCCGCTTAATTGGTTCCATCTAGATAAATTACTTACCTCAGTTCCTATCACAATTTCTTCCCTGGCAGAGAAGAACAGAAACTCATATAGCTTGTAGTGTTGAAATAAGCTGAAATACAAAATAAATGTGGAAAGCTGATAAGTTTATTTCAGGAAAAAAGAGCAAATATGTAAGAATATTTATTACAGGAAAGTTGTTTGAATTGACCAAGCTAAAGATATTAAACACTAATATGAAGTTAGCCACCTCCTTTACTCCAAAATAAGTTGCCCAGAAATGATAAGCAATTAAAGGTTTATTTTTTTTGAGACACTGACAATATAACATAGTACCTAAATTAATATCAGTGAACTAATCTGTGATGAGTGGATAGGTTTGGGGTAGATTTCATCTTGACTTTTCCTGGCTCACAACCAAATATTGCACTGCCTCTAAATAACACCAAACTTCACATTCTTTTTCATGTTTTGCTCCAAACTGGAGTCAATTTCCTCTCATATGAATAGCACTGAATTCTATAGGCTACTTCCATATCAATTACTTCTCACATTCTCAAACTGTTTCAAGATTAAGGTAATTTCTGATAACACCTGAAGAATGATGCAACATTAACTGAAATACTTTTTAGATGATTTTCTTGAAGAATATTCCATTACACATCAAAGAGAAGAATTAATTTGAGAAAGATAATTTCTTTAGTTCCTACCCGAAAGACTAAATGGTCAGTGTATAAAAACTATAAAGAGCTAAAAGAGCTTAAAAATATATAGTTCAAGTAAGATTAAAGATCTCAGCAATGTGTTACTGAGAGTTAAAAATTTACTGAAGGGTTGACTTCTAATATCCTGTTTGTGATAATATTTGAATTTTTCTAATTCTCTTCCTGCTGGTTGGGAAAATTAATAGACTCATAATACAGCAAAATGCTGAAGAACAAAAAATTGTCTTAGTGGTTTCTCTTTCACTCTGGTGCCTTTTGCTATTTAAGAAAATTGATTTTAATATAACTGAGAAATTAACATTTGCAAAATGTAGCTACAGAGCATGTATAATAATGGCTTCTCCTGAATGCTGTAATGGATCAAAGTTTCAATTCATTTGAAATCAACGAAGAAATCCTCAGGCAGCTGGGTCTCTCTGAGTTATATTAGCAGTTGAGCTCACTACTAACACAATCCATTAAACTGATGGGTGTACAGGCTCAGTCATGGTTTGTTTTGTTTTGTTTTGTTTTTGACTACATTCAAATTAGTCATCAACATACAGAAAACTAGCTTAGCTTTTGACATTACTTTGATCTGTTGGCTAGAAAATACAAGATTAGTGAAGTTTGATGATTCAATGAAGCAAAATAAATTCAAACTCTCCTTCCCTTACATTGGTTACCTAGAGAAAGCTTCAAGGTTAAAACTATTACATTATCAGTAACTGACTTTGAGTAGAAAAATTAAAGACTGTAGAATATTTTGGAAATAGCTTGGCTTCTTCTCAGTTAACTAGTCTAAAACTTTCCTTTCCCCATCTTGTGTCACACAACAAAGTCAATTCATAAATCCTTCTTCCTGCAATTTCATAATCTTTCCACGTTATTCTCCTTATTGCATACAACAGTTATTAGATTATCCCATACCAAAAAAGAAACTGACTTCTTACAATGAAAATAAAATGCATGACTTGGATGCAGTGGCCAAAGATACAGGGTTGGGCAAGGCCAGGACTACAGTGAGACATACAAGGGGAGGGGGGGCCACCAAAGGGAGGCACTTACTCAGGGGCAGGTCAAGTCATACCACCATTGCTTTGCTCTGGTCCCCACCAACAGCTGGGGTTCTCTCACATTACCAGGGAGCTATTAAATGGCCTCACATGGGAACAAAGTGACACTTCTGTTATGGGAGCGTATTTTTTCCCTCTTCCTTTGGACTCCCAGCTGACTCAAGCCCCTAGACTATTTTTGTCAAACATCTTGTCTTGGTCCTAAATCAAAGGGAGACTACTCAGAATGAAAATGGTCAAGACATCTGGCTCCAGGCCAGGAAGGACATTTGTGTGAAGAGGTGTTTTTTTTTTTTTTTTCCGGTACGCGGGCCTCTCACTGTTGTGGCCTCTCCCGTTGTGGAGCACAGGCTCTGGACGGGCAGGCTCAGCGGCCACGGCTCACGGGCCCAGCCGCTCCGCGGCATGTGGGATCTTCCCGGACCGGGGCACGAACCCGTGTCCCCTGCATCGGCAGGCAGGCTCTCAACCACCGCGCCACCAGGGAAGCCCCTGAAGAGGTGTTTTAGAAGTGTTTTCTTATATTGAGTATATGTCTGTGCACTTTACCTTCACCTAATTTCCAGGGAGTACATAGAATATACAATGACAGAAATGTCCTTGAACCAGATACATGTCTAAATGACGTCTTATATTAAAAAGCTATGTATATGTTGTGTAAGTAGATTACTCAGTAGCAATGCTGGGGAGGAATTTTGGTATTCATTTTTTCAATTCACAGACACATCATGGAATATACAGTGTAGACTCTATTAAAAGCATCAAATGAAATTTCAATTTTTTTAAGCTTTATTTCTTTATTTTTTAAATTTTTGGCCACGCAGCATGTGGGATCTTAGTTCCGTGACCAGGGATCTAACCCGTGCCCTCTGCATTGGAAGCATGGAGTCTTAACCACTGGACTGCCAGGGAAGTCCCCGAAATTTCAATTTTATTGTCACTTAAGTTTCATGTGCTACAGGTCACGTTCCAAAACGCACACTCCCAAAACTGACTAGGGCTTTCACTGGTTGATTAAACTTAATTATTAGGTTAAGCTGAAAAATGGTTATACTTTTTTTTGATAACTGAGCTAGCTTCATATTTAGAAAACTTCTTTGCAATCATTAAAATGAAAAGTATTATATGATTTAATTGACATTAAACTTGCATTTGTGGACACATGAGACATTCTGAACAGGTGTTGCAGAAAAGCACATTTCTCTTGACACAACTTCAGAATCAATTCCAGATATCCTACTTACCAACTGATATTTTAATTTCTGTGACAGAGACACTTAAAACATGTAATTTCTTTGAAATCACAATATAAAGATTAAACAGCATAAAAGCTAGTTCCGATTTACTTTATTTGACTAAACTTTCAAATATTACTTTTTTTTTTTTTGGAGAAGTAAGACTAGGTATTTTTGGTGTGTGAAGTTACCCTGGTTAGGGTCAAAAGGTGACTAACACTGACATCCCCTCTTCACTTAGCCATTTTCTGAATGTCAATAAAATGTCAAGAAATACGCTGATGAACATTTGTCCAGAAAGATGATATGAAAGAGAAAAGAGCTGCCATCTTTCACCATCTAGAAAGTGCATGGGTTTTGGTGCTGTGGTTAACTATCAGTCCTGGTGCCCATTATAGGACTCTTGGGCTGAGAGCTCAGCTGAAAAATGTATTCTGCAAGAGAGACCTGGAAGGCTCAAATGGAGAGAGAAGGGAAAGAAGGATGCTCTACAAATGTGCAGAGAATTCCCCCTGCCCAGTGATTTCCAAACTCTGATGGGCAGAAATACCTTGGGGAACAAGTTCTCCTCCAGCTCTGGGTTTCCACTCCCTTCCCTCCCCACCACACAAGGATCTCCCTTTAATTGATATGGAGACTACTGTGGCTTTTAGTGAGAGACACACATTAGGAGGTATACTGTAACATTAAGAAGTCATATTATATCAAATGCTATTACATAAAAATATATCATACACCATTATTAATTCATGCCAGAAACCAGTATATAAACCTTATCATATTAAACACATTAGTTTTTTAAAAACTTCCAGGCTACAACCAGGATCCTTGCCAAGCAAATCATGAGCATGTCTAGACCATCATACAGCACCATTTATTTTAGAATTGTAAAACTTAAAGTTGGAAAGTACTGCAGTATATAGTAACAGAGGAACAAAGAAATTCTGCAGAAACTTTTAGTTAGGCAAAAGAAAGATTTTTACCAACTCTTGTTTAAATATTTGCTAACTTAAAAAATGTCCCTTGGGAGAGATGCAAAACTCTAATGCAGACCTTGTGACAGATCATATAAAAAGACAGATTTCTTAGTTCAACAATGAAGAATCACTGTAAGAAAAATACTTTCCCTCCATCCACCATCATTTTCGAAGCACAAAGAAAGACTTAATGAATTTAGTTGGTCAATACTACAAATATTTCAGGGTATATAATAAATTTGAGGAAGTATGTATATAAATCTCTTCAATTTCTAATATAAAGCATTTAAAATAAACGTTTAAATGGAAATGTTACTCTTTAAAACGTAAAATTTTAAGGTCAAGGTCAACTACCTGTAGTATAGTCTGTTGTAATCAAATCTGAATAATCTGAAAGAATCATTTGATTAATAAGAACAGTATTATTTAGAGATTCAGAGAAAAAAATTCTTAGACAAGAATTACAGATCTAAATGAAATTATGCTTATCAAACATAAACTTCTTTTTAAGAATACAAGGAAAGCCAAAATGTTCAATGTCCTGGTTTTTATTTATTGGATGGATGATTTGAATATTATCTAATTATCGGTTGGGTTAATTACTGCAAAAATTTTGTAAATGTCTAACTTCATTAAAAATTGAATTAGCTTCTATTTAATAGACATTTTCTAGAAAACATAAAGTGAAAACTAAATGCTACTGAAAAAAGTCCATACCTGATTTTCAGGTAATCAACAATAGCATTGGCTTGTCTTACATCAAAGATATTCCATTCCTCATTTTTTTGTGAATGGGATGGTCCTATTTCAGCCATAACTTCTCTGAGCCATTTTATGCTGTCTTCTAAGGACATATGCAGTGCTGAAATAAAATCCAAAGAAGTCTAAAGCATTATTTTCATAGATGTTTTGGCAACAAAATAACCCAAGATGTCCTTAATGTGTAACAATTCCATTTTTCAGTATTTGTGACAATGGTAAAACTACTGCTGTTTGTTTATGCTAATAATTACATTTTATGTAAAAGAACAGGAGCTTACACACCCAACAATTGTAAATTACCTTAATGCTACACAATTGTCTAAAGAGTTTGTTTCCATTTTAAGATGCAAAAAAAAAAAAAGAACCCTCAATCTATCCTAAAGATTACTTTAGAATGGAAAGGAAAAATTTTTCATAATCTTAGATTAAGAGTATAGATAGAAACGACACAAGGTTGGTTGGATTAGCTGGTAAGGAAGGCCTACAAAGTAGACTCAGCCACTGTAGACAGCAGAACCAAACCCAGAGCTGAAAATGTAAATGAACAGGGTCAACTAACACTCGGCTTTAGTTGATTGTTACCATGTGGGAATTTGGGCCTGAAGATTTTCAGTGGATGCCAGAAATATGGATTTTTATGTAAAAATCAAGATTTTTTTTCTTTTCCAAGCTACAGACATAACTTATGTAAGCTGTCTCTCAAATGTATGCCTGATGGTGGTGGTGAGAGCCAGATGACAGTGCAAAAAGAGTGACACTGACACCACTTTGCCACCATTACCAAAAATAAACGAGTCAATGATTGTGGTCTATTCTCTCGCAATTAAAAGCAAACAAACAACAAAGCAAAACTATCTTCTAAGGCATCTGCCTAGTTGAAAAAGAAGTAGATAAGTGTCAAAAGCCTTGGACTTAAATTTTATAATGTGTATAATACAAACATTAACCTCCATCTTCTTTTCACATTTTTACTTGTGGCAGACAAATATTATTTACAATACACACACAGCTCCCTGCATCCTGAGGAGAATCCAGGTAACTGGAGTGTCCAAACTGTCCTTTGCTGACAAGTGAGGGGTGTATGGACACGAGACCGAACAGCATGGAGGTGGAGAGTTGAAAGGCTCTAGCAAAAACAAGGTTGGATTGGTTGCTTGGAGGGGGTGATTGTCAGCTGGTGGCCAGGATGAGGGCCTGGGGGAGAACTGTGCTGAACAATGTGAATCCCACCTTCCCAATCCCAACCAAACTTCTGTCTCTCTTAGGAGACCGTTAGTAAACTTCCCAACTCTTGTTAATGGGGTGGCTTTTTCAGGGAAGTAGAAGGTGAGAGTGCAGAGGAGTTATGAGAACACAGGCTGATTGTCAGAACCAATTATTTCTGGGTTACATAGCTTCTCTTTCTGGGATATAAGTGCTAGGTCCCCAAATTACTAATAAAATGACAGTAAAGTAATTTAAAATTTTGGAAGACACTATAAACACCAACTTGTAATTTGTTTAGTCTAGATTCTTTTCTATGTGTAGGAATTAGAAAAGCATAAAACTATATAACAATTAAAATCTGGTTTAATGAATGACAATTAGTCCAATTCTCATGGCCTCCTTCCAGATCCTGTTTTATGTCTGTCAGATACATAGAATTATTACTGGATAACTAGGCTTTCCTGTATCATTCTAAGTGGAGTTCAATTATTACTGAACATTTCTTTTACTTTTTTTTAAATTTATTTTTAAATTTATTTATTTTTGGCTGCATTGGGTCTTCGTTGCTGCGCGCGGGCTTTCTCTAGTTGTGGTGAGCGGGGGCTACTCGGTTGCGGTGCACGTGCTTCTCATTGTGGTGGCTTCTCTTGTTGCGGAGCACGGGCTCTAGGCGCACGGGCTTCAGGAATTGTGGCTCTCAGGCTCTAGAGCTCAGGCTCAGTAGTTGTGGCGCACGGACTTAGTTGCTCTGTGGCATGAGGGATCTTCCCGGACCAGGGACTGAACCTGTGTCCCCTGAATTGGCAGGTGGATTCTTAACCAATGCGCCACCAGGGAAGTCCCTATTTCTTTTTCTATGATAAACTTCTTTTGAAAATAGTAAGAGTAATTTCAGAAATGAAAAATCTGTTGGATAAAAGCAATTAAAAAATGAATGGATTAAAATCTGAATCATTTTATTAATAAAACGGTATTAATTAGAAATGCAGAGAAAAAATTTAGATGATTCTAATTCTAGATGTGTTTGTACTTATCAAGCACAAAAATAAATTTATATTACTATTTCCTTATGTTAAAATATAACTGACTCTTTAAAACTGTTTTTCTATGTCTAATGTCTTTCTACAGATAATGGCTTTAAAAATTAGTAAAGTTATCATTTCACTTATCTAACTGAAATGTTTGCCCTTTTAAAAATCACATTTAGTGATGTGATTAAAATATGAAAGACTAAACCAATTAAATACTAAGGGCTGTTAGAAATAAAATTTATCCTTGAAAATTTAGGGTAATGAAAGAACATACTATACTTATAATTAGCTGGAAGATTTAGATTGGTACCTCATAACTGCCATTTACTACCTAGGTAATCTGAGCTTCATTTTCCTTATCTGTGAATGAGAATAATACCAATTCTCAAAATAACAGTGCTATTGTGAAGATCAAATAAGGAATGCATGGGAAACTCCTGGTAAACTGAAAAGATACATATACATTACATGTATATAGTGCTTTCTAGAATTTAGCCCAAAGCCAGGCACATCTCACGTGGTCAGGAGGATGGGCTCTCGCTCTCTGGGGTTCAGATTTAACCTCTCTGAATCTCATATATTCTTCTCATTTTTAAAATGAGGAGACTAATGGAACTATCTTATAAGACTGTGCATGAATTAAGTGCAAAAGTATTTGGAAAGCAAATGGCACTGTGAGTGACACAAGTTAATCCTGTATAAATGTTAATTATTATTATCATTATCATCATCATTCCTGTTTGGAGGAAAAACAATTCAACTTCATAGAACTAAAAAGCATTCTATGGTTATTTACCACATTCATGTTATATAGAGGACAATCAATCTTGGCCCATCGACCTAGACAGAGGCCAAATACCCAGTCTAATACTCTACATCCTGTCCTTGGTCAGGCCCTGGAAAAACTGAAACTCAAAATGTATATTGTTAAGGGACTTCCCTGGCGGTCCAGTGGTTAAGACTTCGCCTTCCAATGCAGCGGGTGCAGGTTCGATCCCTGATCAGGGAGCTAAGATCCCACACGCCTGGAGGCCAAAAAATCAAAACATAAAACAGAAAGCAATATTGTAACAAACTCAATAAAGACTTTAAAAATGGTCCACATCAAAAAAAAAAAATCTTAAAAAAAATACATATATACTGTTAAGATAACTGTACAAATTCTACATTCCATAATCTTTTAGTTTGATCTACTTTGATTCCAGGTGGGTTGTCTGCAGAATATCTTGTGGATAATGTAGCACAATCTGAGACAAGGGATAGATCAGAAACCGAGTCAGTATAAAGTAACAGTCCCCACACTAGAATTTTATTAGTAACCGTCGGCCACACTACAGCTCACAGCACAAACTGTGCTCTTCGGTGCTTTTTCTCTGAAGATGTTGCCAGATGGGATGGGAGTGCTCACTATGTGCTCAGGACTCCACCACCTCTTAGTTTAAGTATAAACATACTTCATCTCCTTCCCTGGCACACTTGGCTAAGATTACATTCTTTCCTGATGGTAACTATAACCTTGTTAGGTTGAAAGGTTTGAGAGGATTTTTTTTTTTTTTTCTGCCAGAAGGAAAACTAGATCTCTTGCTTTTTTCCGGTTAGGTTTTACATACGTACTTTCCCTCTCTCATAGTTTATGAGTACTTGGATGGATCGTGCTCAAGTTTTAAAAATTCATTTTTGAACTGATATCAACAATATAAAGTTTCACATAAAAGAAATATTCATAAGTTATGTTATGGAAAACGTTTAAAATGGAAATCTCTTGTCAAACTTGTAATGTGAGATCCATGAAATTTTTCTACTTTCCTTTATTCTGTTTCTAGTTTGTGAATTCTCAGCTCAGAGGTTGCAAAGCTTAAGACTGTTCATGTCATGTACTTCTTTTTACAATTTAATTCATAGATGACATATTCACATGGTTCAAAAAATATATGTGAAGGTGTATTGTGAGAAGGCTTCCTCCAGTCCTGTTGTCCATGTGCCCAGTTCCTACACCCTTTGCACAGAAAATTTTATTAGTTTTTTCTGTATTCTTCCAGCATTTCTTTGTATATATAACAAATAAAGACATAGATAAATACTAATCCTGTCTGTTTTATAAACAAAAGAATACAATTCTGCACCTTACTCTACTCAGTAACAACATATGATACCTAGAAAACCTTCCTCATTCTTTCCTTTTTTACTGCTGCACAGTATTCCAATTTAGGGATAGGCTACTCCCTACAGGTAAAGTTTTAATTTTGGAGTAGTTTTAGATTTACAGAAAAGTCGCAAGAATATCACAGAGACTCCCCATATACCTCATACACAGTTTCCCCCATTGTTAATATAGCTATGGTACATTTGACACACCTAATGAGCAAATAGTGATATATTATTATTTAAGTTCACCCTTTGGATTTCTTCAGTGTTTTTGTTTTTTTTTTTTGTGGTACGCAGGCCTCTCATTGCTGTGGCCTCTCCCGTTGCAGAGCACAGGCTCCAGACGTGCAGGCTCAGCAGCCATGGCTCACGGGCCCAGGTGGGATCCTCCCAGACCGGGGCATGAACCCGTATCCCCTGCATCGGCAGGCGGTCTCTCAACCACTGCGCCACCAGGGAAGTCCCCCTTTAGTTTTTATTAAAGCCTTTTTTCCTGTCCCAGGATCCCCTCCAGGACACATTACATTTAGTCGTCATGTCTCCTTAGCACAGTTTCTCAGATTTTCCTTGTGTTTTTTTTTTTTTTTTTTTTTGCAGTACGTGGGCCTCTCCCACTGCGGAGCACAGGCTCCGGATGCGCAGGCTCAGCGGCCATGGCTCACGGGCCCAGCTGCTCCACGGCATGTGGGATCTTCCCGGACTGGGGCATGAACCCGTG